GGATTGTTAAATATATAATCGGTTTCAATACGTGGGAGTTTTAATCTAATTGCTGACGTAATTTAAAGTATTATATCAGAAAGACCGCCATAGATAAACGACTAATTAGTAATAATGTAATCGTTATAAATGTTATAATATATAGTTTTATATAGTTATGGGAACGTCATTCATAGCAATGATCATTGAAATTACACACTTACGAATGATAGTCTTTTTTGCTCTTGCGAATTCACACAAATAAACTCGACTTTTCAGTGTCGTCTCGTGTGTTTATTTACACAGCAGAAACATGTGCTCTTATCTAGCGGTATGACGCAAATTGAATGGAGATCTCCGCAACAACAGACTGACAAGAAAATGAAGCTCCGCTTTGAAAGATTAATGGGTTTATATCAACGTCCATAAATGCAACCAAAAGACGAAGAGAGAAAAGTTGGCGTGTTCTGATCGGGAAAATGTAAATGGAAAAATGTAAAAAAAAAAGGTAGCGCAACAAATCTGATGTCATTTCCCGTACCGCAGAATTGAAGGTTGGCTAAATTGTAATTACAATTGGCTTGAGGTCATGACAACACAGCACAGCAATTTTCACGAAACAACGAAAACGTTCCTCCCTACCACAGTAGAAAAAAAAGTACACCTTAGCTGTGTAACTATATTACCTTCAATAAGCTACTCCTGCTGTTTCGTGTCTACTATACATCGCATACAATTAACATTAATTAGGATTAATTAGCGAACTCAAATTTGTAGTTTCTTATCGTATCTACAAAGTAACATTTTTTTTATGTTCGTCTTTGTATTTAGGCACTTCTGAAACCTGTCCAATAATAATGACAACGCACTGTGTCGTACACTACAAATCAATTAGATATTCTCGGAAAATGTGACGGTTCCATTTGGGCTTCGGTTTGCTTGGAAGTCGAACGATTCTAAGCGTGCGCTTCGAAAGCCATAACCATTATATCGAATTAAATTTTCGCTTGTGTAATTATAAATGTTTGCGCGCTTCGCGATTTCGATTTATTCTCTGCATCGATTCGCGTTTCTGAAATGCTCCTCGGCTACATTCCAAATACGCTGAAAACCCATACTCACTGATATCCATTAGAATGCTGCTGGTAGATGGATGGAGCAAGGGAAGAAATTTACAAAAAAAAAACGAAGAGTTTACTTTAATAGTCAAGATGCTATAAAAATCCGTTCTGTAAACTACGCGTAAATGATTATAGCTTTTTTCATCTTCGAGATCAAGTGTTACTTTATTCATCACGAATATTTGTTTATACTATAAGTTGCCAATTTTTTTTTTGCGAGATTTTGCTTATGCCGATCGAATATCAAATATTTCAAGTATAAACGATAGATTTAATATAGCAATTAAAGTCAATTGGAATGAAATAAGCAACAAATCAAAAATATTGTAATTAAATTTTAATTTAATCGTTTAAAAAGCCAGCTTTTTCATAATGTTATTCAAAACTTATTTTAATAGCACTACGTAAGTGAATCATAAACTATAATTATTATTTAGTTATTAAGTAATTGAAGTTAACATAAACGGATGAATTATTCCATAGTCTATGATATGATGAAGATTTTATGAAGTGAACTTCAAAGAACCTTTGCTATTACACCTTATTTAAAAAATCTAATTTACATTAGTTGTATCATAAGTAGCTAATAGATATTCTTGTTATTGTTATAATGAATACTTTAAAATCATGTTTTTTAATTTTAAAAAATTGAAAGATAATGGTATATTTTAACTATAGTAATATAATTAAACGAAAGCATGTGGCAATGCTTAAAAGGTTTTCGTCACCTTCGTCATAATAAGTTAATTTAAAATCGTTAAAGTACAATTTGTTGTAATCCGACCGTTCGAAAATGGGACATGATTGAGTATCTCTTTCCAAAGTAATTGACCAGAGAATCGAATAAAAAGATTTGTATGTAAATTTTTCTATGCCAACTATTAATTATATCGGAGAAGGTAAATAAAGAGAGATGGTATTACAAAAAAAAAAAGATGAATGGTCAATCAATCTAGAGATCTATTAATCATGCCGCGTAGTATTAATCGTACGTTCGTTCTTTTTAATGTATTAATATTTTATGGTGTTTTAATAGCTGTAAACATCGATATCACTTGAATCGATTTCTTTTTGTTTTGCATATAGACTAATGAATTTTGAATTGGATTTGCGTACGATTTGTTGTATCTATAGTGGATCATTTCAATATCGACGAAAGGATGTTTCTGTATTTATTTATTTGCGTTAAAACTCGTAGATGCAACAGATGGTCGAACGATATATTAACTCACTTATGTAGTTATGCTTTTAGCATTCTGCCAGGACTCTCTTAGGCTTGGCTTCTCTGAAGCGCTTCGATAAATTACTACGAAAATGCAATAAATAAAAACGCAATTGTAAATTAGCCACTAATCTAGCATCTACGGACTGCGACGGAGATAAGTCAGCTTAACTTATAGTCTCTATCCGATTCTAATTATCCTTTACTGAAAACAGTGGGTGAATTAATTTAATTTATAACAGCCTTTCTCACTCTGCGCGTGGTCTTTTAATTGCGCTGCATTTCTATACACCATAAAGGATTTAATTTGAAATTTGTAATTGAATGCTTTCATCTTGTCGTTTCAACATGATATTATTACCAGAAATTTAATTTTGGTAATTATATAGTAAGTCCAACCTAAATCTTTCATTTGCGACTTTAATGAAAATATATTAGTAGATTACAGCTTTCCAGATCTTATTATTATACATTTACATTCAGATAATAGCTATATTTATAACAGTTAATTTATTTAGTAAATTTACTTAACTTTTTTCTAATTCAATATTTGAACGGCAAGATTATTAAAGTTTAGATTATCTTTATTAATATAGTTCAAATAAATCATATTATACATCAAGTATTCAATTACAATTCGATGAAATTGAATTTGAATCAATTGAAAGTTTAATAGTATTTAATGGCCATTATTGATTTCCTTATTTAATCCGCGATAAATTGATTTAATTGGTTACAAAAGCATTTTACTCTTTAAACCGTTCATTTATTAGGGATTCTTCTGGGGCCGAACAAAATTTAGATAGGCAATTAAATGTTAATTGAAAGGTTCTGTGATGTAAACGTATTCGTTTTCGGCATTAATTAAATTACAATCCGTGCAATAAAGATTTCAGGGCCGCTGCAAACATGCGGCTCGAATTAAGGTTGAAAAGCTCAGTAAGAATGCTTACATAAACGCGTCGGTTGAATTGAATTGTTAGTAGAAGAGGTATTATCATGACCATTTCCAGATTTCCTCGTCGTGCTCGCAAGCAATTAAACGCTCGCGATTGCATCACACAGCCTCACCATTATGTAACTTGTGCCTATATGAATTACATTAAATAAATTTGAATGAGGAAATATACGTTATGAATGTTGTTATATGGCGGTGAGCGATATAGCCAGTTGTAAACAAACCTCGGAATTCGAACGAAAGTTGTTCTCCAAAAACCCATAAGTCAAAGGAACGCTTTCAGAGAGAGAGATATTTCACTATGACTTTTTCGTTTAGATAATAGCATCCATAAATCTTGTTACATGCATATTAAGTGCTCTTGCGAATATTGAAATCACTTGGTAATAGCTACATTCAATACTTTCCAACATACTAGTTTACTCGATCTGTTTTGAAATACTGTGCACGTACAGTGAGAAAAATGCGATAATATATTTAATAAATCATCTAACATCATTCGTATCTGTTCACGAAGAAGATATGTAATAGTAAAGAAATATATCTTGAAGGAATTAGATTGATTCACGTTCAGTTCTAAATTAGTATGTTAATTTAGCTGTGGTCTAATCGTTTTAATTGGTTCGGCATCTACAAAAAGGAAATTTAAAGAACAGTAGGAGATTCGAGTCACACTGCATGTTAATTTATGCTGATATTAATAAGACTAACAATGACGAGTCGTGTGCGTTCATCCACGCCGCCACCGGGAGGTTCTCTCTCAATTCCGAATCCTTCCACAAGGCCGAAGACCCTGATGGAAACGTTACTAGTTGCTAAAATGGAACAGGTCGCTCTCGGTGGACACCCTGGAAGACCGCTTGTCCGTACCGACAGTGTGGACAGCACTGGATCTCTGGGTTCCGTTACTTCTACCAGCAGCGATGTGTGCCGTTGCGACGACTGCCTTTTGGGAATCGCAGATCTCTATGCACAGACCGTGGAGGAAACAAGACAAAAGAAAAAGGTACCATTCCCCCTTATACTAATTATTTATCGAAAATGACTTAATTGAAATTAAATTTTTATACGCTTTTCTTCGAATAAAATAAATGGAAAATATGTTTTCTTTACATCCCTTTATATTAAACACGATTAGGTAGACAAATAAATTTAGATGGTTTAAGAAAAGTGGAAGTAATAATTGAAGAGTATTTCAAATACAGTTTATATTATTCGCACAAAATAATAATAATAATGTGTGCGTATGTAGATTTGCTGCTTTTTACGCGTGTTTTTAAAGTTGCCTATATAATTGAATAAGTTTAATTAAACTTATTGCACGGCATGGAATTCCTGTCGTTTTTCGCGCTGTTAATTACTTCGAACACGATTGATTAATTTAATATGTTCTCTGGCGAAATAATATTTAATGATTCGACTTCTAAATTAGTTCAATTAATTAAATCTGGCGTACCAATTAAAATCGACATTTTAATTTATTACATTTCGGTGAAACGAATATTTTATTTAAATTGTGAAACTCTCGTAATCTCTTTATCTGGATAAAGATGTGTCATCGTTATTAATAAACAATAATGTTGTTAATCAATTAGAGGAAGTCTTATGATACTTACTTGTGATGTTCAGATTTTAGAAAAAGAACAAGATGGATTTTTGTTATTTTTTTACAGTTTAGTGGAATTTATTTAAATTTTCAATATATGGGAAAAACGTAACAACAATAAAAGCAATGCAAAAATAATAATTTTCTTTAGTGGTGTCCACTGGAGAATCCCCATTTCTTGTGTTCATCGTGACCGCCCTTCTTGCCGTACTTCTCGCCATGCCCGTAGTGATCCTCGTGACCACCGGCTTTCTTGTGGCCGGCATCTTCGTGGTGATGAGATCCCTTTTCGTGGTGTCCTTTCTTGCCGTAGTGATCTTCGTGGTGTCCGCCCTTATGGTGTCCTCCCTTCTTGTGACCGCCCTTCTTGTGTCCATCTTCGTGGTGGAATCCTCCGTGTTTCTCGTGGTGTCCCTCGTCATGATCCTCGTCGTAGAAGTGCTTTTCCTTCTTGAATTCGTCGAGCTTGTGAACGTCGTGTCCTCCCTTGGTGCTGTGACCCTTCTTGAAGCCTCCCTTCTCAGCATACTTGTGTCCTTTCTCGCCCTTTTCGCCTTTATGGTGCTCGGCGTAATAACCATCGTCGTGGTGGTGCTTCTTCTTGTGTCCGCCGTGCTCTTCGTGGTGGCCTTTCTTACCCTCCTTGTCGTGATGACCTTTCTCTCCTTTTTCGTAGGTATGGTGACCTTTGTATCCCTTATCGCCTTTCTCGCCGTGGCTACCGTGGTGATCCGCATGGTGCTCCTTACCTCCGCCTTTCTTCCACTCATGCCCGGACGCAGCTGGCTCTAAGTCTTGCACTTCTTCGTATTCATTTCTGCTAATCTCTCTGGCGTAAACCACACAAAGGGTGGCAGCTAGGAGACCTAGCGCTAAATATCCTTTGTTATACATCATGCGATGTTGTACACTAGAAGATCTTAAACTGAACTGATGACTTCCACCTCGATCTACCGCCTATTTATATGATTTTTAGTCAATATTTTTTGTCAAGTGAAAATATTTTAATCCTCAATTGAACTGTAACAAGTCTATTAACAAATTTACCATTCTCTCTTGCAAACTTGCATCTTGCGGTTCCAGCTTTCTCTAATAGTTTTTGCCCGTGATGTAACTGTTGGTATAATGTGCCATATTCCATCAATCGGAACCTTATTGTCTCGCTGTGTAACAATCAATTTACAAATCTTACCAAACGTAACGAATTTTCACAAAAATCGTATTTAGTCAATAAAAAGACAAACACATTAGTTTTAACTAAACTTGAATATAACGTCACGCATACACTAGGAAATTTATTGTAATTTAAGTTATTGCGTAGGTTTTGTAATCAAGTGAAAAGAAAGGAAATATTTGAATTAAGCAATTTAAAAATACTTAATTACTGATATCGTTTTAGTAAGAAGTCTATAATTTATTTCCAGAAACACACACACTGACTAATTATTTATCATTAATTAATTCTCTCTAAATTATGCCTAAAATGTGAATCGTAGGAATGTCATTTAATTTATTGTTAGTTGCCGACAAAAGAAAAAAAAGGAAACCAAATTCAGTGTGGTTTTAATTTATCATATACCTAGAACAAACGTCGTCATTTGTGTGCTTCTCCTGCGTTCGTAGTAATTCGATTTGAAGAATGTATTGCGTGTAAGGACCGGAAATCGTATACAATATTATCGAAAACGCATTAAATTTTATTACTAAACTTTCTTCTTTCTTAACATTTTTACTTTAACAAAATACTATTGTTTAGAAATAATAAATAATTAGTATAATTGTTGTATTTTTTTCACAATCAGTTAAACCAATTAATTATCAGATAAATGGAATTGATCGATTTTAAAAGAATTGTACATTCATTACATGTTTTCGCAAAAGAAAAAGTTATTTACTTAAAACCTAATGTTTCAACGTCACTGAAGTGATTCATACAAATCCAAATCACAATTAAGTCGTACATTGTGTTGTCACTGTTATTTTCGTTATTCAGCGTCGTAGGATATGTAAAAATGAATTTATACATCATCTTCTCGCAGAAGACTTTAAATGTTTTACAATTAGATACAAGTGATGAATTTCAAATGTTGTTGTTACATTCTAGCGAATTAAATATTACATTAATTATTTTAAATTGAATTTCCATAAATTAAATTTTAATCTAGAATATAACAACTAATAATTTACTTTTTGTGTGAATGAAATATATTAACTTCTACTTAGTAAATAATCATTCAGGTGACAGGCTTAATGTAATTTACCGTTCGGATATGGGATTAATGAAAATCATTTAATTAAAAGGCTATAATATTTATTGCCATTTAATAAATACGTATAATTTCTATACCATTGAGAGAGAGTAAAATGAAGGCTAAAAAAAAACGAAACTCTTCGAAACATACACATGAAATTCTTGTTTTGAGGTTACTGTGGCAATGACCGAACGACCCGAATATATTCATACCCATCAGTGGCGGAACGATTGATTAGTAAAAAGCAAAAAAAAAATACAAGATAATTTGGTAATTATAACACTCTTAAGATTGAGTATTGAAAATTTGTTTTTTTCGAAAATTTTCAATGAAAAACTTTTAAAATATATGTTTAAATTAATTTGTATTTATTGATGGAGGAGTTAACAGCATGAGTTGGAAAGTAGTCATTTAATCTCTATTTACGAACCAGTAGTTTGCCACCTTTTTTTTACCAGTTTTTTCATCTTTATTGGTGAAATGAAGCGTGATGCTTATATATCCAACGGCTCTATAAACTCATTACTTTTTATGTTGGAAAGCTCCAAACGATCAAAGAGTTTCATCCATTTTTTTATTAACGATTTTTTTTTTCGTAACAACTAATTTAAATTTTATTTTATTTGATCTCAACATGTATAATATTAATATTAGAACTTTCGTTTTTCAATATTTAATACAGAAATAGTTTTAACATATTTCTGTAATTATAGATAAAGTAAAATGTTTTCAAATTATTTTTAATTGTAATTCATTAACTTCAAACCTTTGCAAAGACATGAACTGCAAAAAAATGTGAAGTGAAGTTTCTGAAATATTTCCTTCACATTTTTATTTTATAAATCAATAATTGCCAACGAAGATGCTCAAAATTTTCATCAAAGTATTTTTATGCTTTGTTCTTTATTGAAATTATATTAGTTTTAGTCAGTATATTAATTATATAATTCATCTCAATCTCAACTGCACAAAATGTTATGATTCGTTTCTTGGTCGCTAATTACATGAGAGAGTATGCGAATAAAAAATTAATAAAGAATTCGACTATGTAATTATATTAAACGCAGTTGTAACTTGCTCTTATCAATATTGAATCAACACTATTGGATAAATATTTAAATTTTACGGCCACCGGTGTTTTTCATAGACGCGACAACAATTTCATGTTATGTCTATTCTCACGAATTGCAATCGTTTGATTACCACACACAGAGTATAATGCTAATCTTTGGTACAAGGAAAGTCCATTATCTCTCTGAACCCGATTCAATTAGTACCAGTTCTAATGTCAGATTTAATTATGGACAATTTTGTGTCAATTGCGGTTGGGGTTTTTTCTCAATCATTGTAAATATATAATTATTATTTTATTAATTATAAAGTCAAGGAAATATTTTACATAGAATTAAAAATATATTGATTTTATTGGACAGCAAAATAATGATCACAAGCTTTAACAATATCATTTTTAAATGCAGATTTGGCTCTTACATCTATAATATTACCTAATTCCTGTTCTAGGATTCACTTTAGTGCAAGCGCTGTAAAATGTTTAATTTGAAAAGTAAACTTGAAATATTTTGTTCATATTTATATTAAGAAAGAAAAGCCCCTAAATAGTTCCAATTACGTTAATTGTAATAATTATTTTAAGTACGCAAGTAATTAAAAGAAACTGCTGATTATAACTATTATTAGAACAATATTATTGTTGTAAAAGTACGCAATCCGCTATAAAAATAGATGTTATAAATAAATCATCATTTTTTCCTCCTGTTATTTGTTACTGTGATGTACGTAATTCACCCCACCTCAAACTCATATTTGTATTGAAAATAAAACAAAGTGTGAAATGAGTGAAGGTTCCGGTTATTTTCGTTACCATTTATATACCAAACGGTGCACGCTCTTTACAATACGACTACTCTGTCATGAATTGGGTGTAAATTATCTCAATAAAGTTGTATTGATATGTTAATTTAACCAGGAGCAATAAACAATTTCGAATTGCGCACGCCTTTCTTATTATTTATTTCATTTTTCACCTCCTTCTTACCTTTTTTTTCTTTCTTCTACTTTGCATATACGTAAATGGTGTTCATTATGAAGACGCTGCTGATTATAATGCTGACTACTTTGGCGCCGACATATTCTGTTTATTTTATCGACCAGGGTGTTGTTGTCGTCGCAAATGTGATTATCCTTGTTGTTTTTTTTAAATAATTGACGCAACAAAATGTTTTTTCTTTAGAAGAGTTAAAACTTCTTCACAATGCTTCTGGATTCATTTGAATTCGAGCAATTGCCGTTGAAAATAAATCCCTAATAAATATCAACAATTGGTGGTATTGGTAATGAAGTCTTATAGGAAGGTTGAATAGATAAACGTTAAGAAAATATTGAATAATCAAGAGAAGATGGTAAATAAATAGTAGCACGTGCTCGTGTTATACGTCTCGCGAATGTCAAACAATTTACGTTTCCTGGTCCAATATCCGTTCTGTTGTAATACTAAATTCGTTTACCTTTTTTCTTTAATTTATTTTTGTCTAGTTAAAATCTATTGCTAATACCATTACAATTCTAAGCAAGTGTTATTTATACTAATGGTTTTTGTGCAAATTAGGTTTTTTCATGGTAAACAATTTAAAATTCTAACATACACTTTCCAAAGTATTTGCTTCCAAAACAAAGAAGATATCACTCGAAAGTAGGAATTAATTTACGAAATATACGAACATATTTGAATGAAATGAATAGTTATAATTGTTTATCTAATTTTCTCTAAAAAAGTTCAAAGTTCATAGATTTAGATATATAGTATTAGCATTCAAATTATAAATGTATTTTTGTAAATCACGAAAGTCGTTATTAAATTATTAATTATAATGATTTATAGTTTCCTAGACATGAAAATGTCATTATTATGATTAGTATTTTTAGAAGAATTTAATGATGAATATCATCTCAAATTATTTATTTTATTTCAATGACTGAACAACTGGTATATTAATAAGCACAAATATAATATATTTATATTGTAAATTTTCGTTTTTTTTTTTTGAATGATGGATAATAATAGGAAATATAGTAAGATCTTGTTTAGCGATGAACTACAAGAACTTATAATCAACTAAATGACACAACAGTAAAGTTGTTATCAAAATGTACAATTCGGGAATTTTCCTGTTGGCTTTTTATGACGTCCAAAGTTCTAGTAGCGGCAGTTCCGTTATCATATGTGTGTGTCTGTGTGTGGTTTTTTTGTTCTTTCAGTTTTATTTTATGTAAAAACCAGACACGATACAACAACTGCACTTTAAACTGTTCCTGGTATCGTCAAAATGAACTTCCAATGTATTTTGCGTCTTAGCAATCAATCCTTTTAATTTTCTATTTGTGTACTAAAATCCCTATATGCCCGCACTGTTTAAAAACGGACTAATCGAGGACTTTAAAACATAAACAGCTCCAAAATAGATAGAAATAAAACAAAATTCTGTATACTAATTTGTTTATAATATAATGTCAATAATTTCCATCTGCAAATTGTCAGCAAGAGTAATTGTAATTAAGATTAAACAACTTACCTTTATTCCTTGAAACCTGTTTTCTGTAAATAATAATGCTAAGAATAAAATATGTCTTTATTTCAATAAATATAAAACATGAACAATTAGATGGAAACTAAAACATTAT